GCAAAATTATAACTTTATATGACCTCTATTCGTACACTGCTCCCGGAACTAACGCGCAAAGCCGCCTTTACCTGAACATCAAGCGCGTGTAGCGTCAGTTCGGCGTCAAGCTCTTCGACTAAAAAGTGATTAGTCAAATAACAAATTCGATAAATTATTAATTTACCTTTATTTATCTACCTGAACATCAAGCTCACGCAGCGTCAGTTCGGCGTCAAGCTCTTCGACTTCATCCCTACGAGTTTCGTGCTGCCCACGGAGCACCGCGAGTTCTGCGAGACGCACCTCCGTGAACGCGGCACTTGGATTGTCAAACCCGTCCAGTCTTCTCAGGGCAAAGGCATTTAGACTTCATATCAGCGCAAAGGCGTTCAGACTTCATATCAGGGCAAAGGCATGTAGGCTTCTTCTCTGGGCAAAGGCGTTTAGGTTTCATCTCGGTTCAAAGGTGTTTAGGTGTCTTCCCAGGGCATGGGCATTTAGTCTTCATCTCAAGGCAAAGGCATTTGACCTAGGTCCTGGTTTATTAGGTCCAGCTGTTGTACATTTCAAATTTCCACCTCTATTTTGTATTTATATATTAGCGGAAATGGATTTACATGATAAATAAATCAATTTGAAATATCTACGGGATTTATATGAGCTATAATGTATGTAGACTTTCATCTTTCATGCTCCTAACCTCGACGGAAAACGTCTGTGAGCACACGGAGCGAAAATTTTAGTCAATGACACATTCAATCTACATTGATTCGGTCTTACTTTATTTACATTCTTCGGTAACCCCCTGAGGTTCTTCATGTTCTTTCTTTGTTGTTTTCTATGCCTCTTCTTTCTCAATTTTACTTTAACAAATACTAAATTGTTAAATGATAAATTGATTGATTTTCGATGCTTCAAATGGTATTAAATACACTTTAATTACAAATGAATCAAGTTCCGCCCGTCCAAGTGCCTCTACGTCGCCGTGACCTCACTGGATTACTCACAAATCTTTTCTTGATGCACAACCAAAATAACATCAAAATGTTTATTGATATCAATCGCTCAGCGATAGTTATAACGATTATGTGGCGTGTAAATCGGCCCAATTTAGCAGTAATCGCGAAATTTTGTAGTGCTCATCATAGCTACTGGTAATTTAATTCATTGCCGTTCAGAGCATCCAGTTAATTTTCCTATAATTAGGAGTCTTATACTAGTGGTTCTGTTGCCTATGTTAGCGAACTTATAACCGAACTTGGCAGGCTGGTAGCTAATAATCTACAAGCTTGAAAAGTCAAAATAATATAATTGGAAAATTACGTTTTTACGGAAGAGCAATACAATATAAATTCCCCTTCATAACAGCAATAAAAAATTAATTAACCTTACTAATAATAATTAGTAATAATCATACTAATATTGAAAGTGGGAAAATAATTTATTCTTTAGAATGATAAAGGTTTATGATATAAAAAGAAAATAACTAACCGTACTAAAACAGGCATCCATTTATATGATTATTATTAGGTCAGATTCTGATAATAGCACTTATATCTATTTTAACAATAGTATCAACAAACGAATCACACTTTAATTTAAACGCGTATCTCTACTGGATTTTGAGGTATAATTTAAGCTCAAGTGGTTAATTAAAAAATTATAACATGCTACTTTGTAAACTTTATTTCAGCCGTAATGGCCACGTCAAGGAAGTGTCACTCATTATAAGGTCATCCGACGGTTTGTTTGATTAGGAGCAACAATAAAAATCCAGTTTATTATTCTCATCGTTAAAAAATCTTTAAAATCAAATAAAAAATAATCAGTCCATATCCAACACAATTCCGTTTGAATTCCCTATGGGGTATTTGCTAACTCCAAATGTCATTTTATAGCAAAGGAGTCGAATATATAAAAGAATTTTTCTGAAAATATAAACCAGATATCATTGCATATATGAAATTTAATCAGCTTTTGCCATTGTTATAATCAGCAGGCAGTGATGTTGAATAGAATAAGTAGAAAATGAAATTCGGGAGTAGATCTCCATTACAGAGACAATCTTTCTCGAGAACCATCAGCCAAGCCGCGAATGTTCACCGCCTGAGACCCCGGTAGGTCACTTGTTTTGAGCAGAAGCAAGAGGGAAATATCGGTGGCGTGAGCAATAAACCTGATCTTATCAACATTAACGAGTCTTTCCAACAATTTCTCACTACAATGAGTACATTGATCATCTCGCATAGATGCTAAGAATTCGAGAAAGTGTTATTCATTTGTTCATGCTTTAATATGGCTTACGAAGTTAGGACGATGCGACCTTTATTGTATCCCTGCTTAATTGCACCCTTTTATCAATTTTACACTAAGCATAATCTTAAACATGTATGTGGCTTATGACCAAGTCACTACAGGTGTAGGTCGTCTTCGTATTCTCCATTGAACCCAATATAAAGCTGGAGATAAAGATTGAGCAAAAAAATCTGGCCAGTACTTTTCATCCCCGTGTTCAACCTTATATAGTCAACCAAGTATAGGTAAAGTTCATGATGAAAAAATATAAGGTGCTGAAACACAGACAGCAAAAGTCAACTCAATACTAACAAAATAATAAAACAACAGAATTCTATATACTTTATTGCAAAAGAACCATACGTATCCGACAAAACAAATATCCAAATAACATGATTAAACAGGATCACAGAAATAACAAGCGCAGGATACGGCCAATGCTGGGATTTACATAATTTCTTTTCGCAAAGAGCATTTTGGGCGGCATAGAACTGATACACTTGATACGTAAAGGGCTTGAGCTGATACACATGATACGTAAAGGGCTTGAACTGATACACATGATACGTAAAGGGCCTGAACTGATACACATGATACGTAAAGGGCTTGAACTGATACACTTGATACGATTACCAGATTTCAATATGTACTATTTGCACTACCATGTAATTGCACTACTTTACGTAGTGCGCATGCCACTATATTATTGCAAAATAGGCCATCAGATAGAGAGGAATTATTTCAAATCAACAACGATAGGCTAACAAAAGAAAATGATTTTGCTATCCTCAAGCGAATGCAATAAAACATTTACTGCCTAGATAATTAGATCTTGGATGAGGCGTTGATCAAGAAGCAGTTCAAGCAATGTTTGAAGAGGCTGTAATATCTGGATTTCAAAAAACTGTATTTTACTATATAATCAATTTACAGATATTTGCTTTTTCCATTTAAAGCAGATAAAGCATCTAATATCAACGCATCAGAGGATTTGATTGACATGCTTCACTTCTATGATGAGCTGCCTTTTGATGGTAATGACGATAATGCTGAGAGATTTATAATGCTGCACTAATGATAATGCTGCACTGAGAGATTTACTATTTTCACATTTGATGTAAGGTGATCTGAGTGCACTAGAGAGTCATTGACTCTCAGACTTATTTTCTAGTATTGACGCATCTTCGGATGTTGAGTTTCTCAAATCTTTATTGAGCAACAATCATATACTTCAAAACAAGATGATGACAAAGAAACACTAGAGAGGAGACACTCTATAGATGCTTTTGACGAAATTCCAGCTACAGCAAGTATGTTTATTCTACATGTAGTGGAGAGGTCGAATAAAGATAATATTGATGGTCTGCAATTCATCACGGTATCTCTCATGAATATTTTATCGAATATGCAAGGAAATTAGATGACAGAAGTTCTTTCTTTAACTTCGCAAGAAGGTTCAGTAACGCAGCTTATCTGATATGAGTTTATTATACGCTTTGCACGCAGCAGATGGATCAACATGCATGGAAAGAAGGGTTCTGTAACACGACTAGAATATGAAAGAATAGAGTCTCGGAACAATAGAGTCTCGGAACAATAGAGTCTCAAAAAATCCACTATTATATAGGCCAATATCGCTGAAAAGCAGTGGGAAGAAGGTAAATTTGATAGAACACAGATATAGGTATATATACGTATACTGCATTTTGGAAAAAGCTTCAAGGCGCTAATGACAAAGAGATTCTAAAATGAACACTTGAATCAGATGTACTAAATGTAGATGATGTATCTCTAAACTGTAAAAACGTCTTTAATCTTTATGGTATTTTGAATTTGTTTAAAAGCTCACTTAATAAAGATATAGCGTTTCTCAGAGCACTTTCAGGATATTGCTATCATAAAAATGCTTAGATGAACCAAGCACGCTTAAAATCGAGGATTAAAGGATATATTTATTGCATATAGTGATAACTTTATGGTATGTCTGAAGCTATAAGTGCAGGTTATGCCATAACTAAGCATCAGCTTATAGTTCATCAAGTTGAAATAGTCTGATGAATGTATCATATAAAGAAAGAAAATATTGGCATCAGATTTAAAGCTTATTTATTGCTCTGGTACTGAAGATGTATAGCACATCTTGCGCTAGAACATTTTGATGAAGAATACAGTGAACAATATCCACATATCGCAAAAATCTGGTATAACGGGAGAATCTTGTAATATTCCAGCAATATCCAGAGAAAGTCCGTAGGATAATTTGCGCCACAAATCTTATAGAGTCAATTAATAGGCATATTAGAAAAAAATATAAGAAACCATGGTGTATTACCTGATGATAAGTCGATTCAAAAAATAATCTTATCGTGGACGAAGGCTCAAGAAAAGTCGACAATGCCTATCAGAGATTGAGCGTTGCACTGAATCAGTTCGCCATATTTTGTGATTCTAATATCTGCAATTGGCCTAACTCTGCAATTGTTCATGCAAAATCTGCCTGACAAAATCACAGCTTATGTTATTGAGACAATTCACCGCTAATTCTTCATATATTCTAAGCTATTTACGCATCCATAGTCGCCATATCATCGGCAATACCATAAGCTTCAAAGAAAAATGGTGATATTTTTTTATCAAATCTTCTATTAGACCAACAACCTGCCCAATAACATAAGGTTCCAACATACCCTAGACCATCGCTTGAGTTACCGGTAAATACGACTTCAATTAAACCTGGGACATAAACATCAACGTCAAATGAGTATTCTTTATCTGTAATGGAAACGCTGAAGACTTTATGAAGTGTGTATTGAGGTGTTGGTATAACAACCGCAGACCATGATGTCGGCAAACCTCCGCCTGTATTGTAAAACACACCACCTAGAGTCTCGGCTGAGTATTTTATATCATTTAAAAATGTTAAATCACTACTTGTAATATTTTGAAGCTGAGAATCTATACTAGCTTTAATGTTGTGGCACTGATCTGGAAAAGTAAAACAGTCAGCCGCTCCTTCATGCGCTTGCATTAACAGACTTCGACTTGTTGAGGAATGTAGCATCCAGTCCAACTGGGTATCCTTGATTAAAAAATAGGTAGAGTTTTTGTTGGTAGTATTGATTTTCTTTTAATGTATTGAACAGACTATTCCGATCTTGTATAACTTCCTGCGTAACTAGAGAGGGAGGAGCAACAAGATCTATATACTTAATTGATGCGTACTGACTAAACGCAATACCAAGAGGCGTTAATCCTAATCCTGTATTATTTTGAAAAGAAAACTGCGTTGAAAAGCTTTCTTTTGCATAATCCAGTAAACCACTAGCAGCTAATACGCAATCATCCATCGTTGTAAGGCTACATGTCAGTGCATAGTACTTCCCGCTGCTATCTTTACTAAATATCTTAGAAAGCTGACTAGGGTCTCCTCCCACCTGAAAAGCTTGCATCATCACTGCACCAGTGATATTATATTGGGTTGCAACATTCTTTATTCTTTCTGAAGCGCTTATAATACTACCAAACGTTGCTCCAGCCTTTTACAATCTTAATTTATTAACATTCTTCGGTAACCCGAAGAATGTGTTCGAACTTCAATCTTTGGTAACCCGAATGAATGAGGAGGCTCTTTAATTCTTTTCTTGTTATTTCCTATGCCGCTTCTTTTTCAATTTTAATTTAACAAATATTAAATTTCAAAATGCTATATTGACCGATTTTTGATGCTTCAAATGGTATTAAATACACAGTATTTATACATGAATCAAGGTTTGCCCGTCCAATTACAAGTGCCTCGTACGTCGCCGTGACCTCGCTGGATTACTCACAAATATCTTGATGCACAAACAAAATAGGATCAACATGTTTAATGATACCGATCGCTCGACGATAGTTATGACGGTTATGCATATATGTTGTGGGTAAATCAGCCCAACAATAGCAATAATTGCAAATTTTGTAGTGTTCATCATAGATCCTGCTAATTTAATTCTTTACCGTTCAGACGAACCAGTTCATTTTCGTCCTCATAGAGTCTGTTATTTGTGGTAATGTGGCTATGTTAAAGTATGATTGCCTGGTAATTAGCGAACTTATAGACGAACTAGGTTGGCTGTTACCTAAGAATCTACTTGCTTGAAAAGTCAAAATTATATGTTTTGAAAATTTCGTCTATGCGGGAGAGTAATGCAATACAAATTCTCCTCGATAACAGCAATAGAAAATTATTTAATCCTACTAATAATAATTAGAAATAATCTTACTAATATTGGAAGCGGTGAAACAATTAACACTTTGAATGTTTGTGGGTTATTAGATAAAAAGGGAAAAACTAACCGTACTAAAACTGGCATCCATTTATGTGATTATTATTAGGTCAGATTCTGATAATAGCACTTCAGCTACTTAAACAATAGTATCAGCAGACTCATCGCATTTTCATTTTATTGTGGACCTCAACTGAATTGTGAGGTATAAATTAAGCTCAACTGGTTAGTTAAGAAATTATAACACGCTGTTTCACGAACTTTATTTCAGCCGTAATGGCCACGTCATGGGAAGTGTCACTCATCTTATGAGGTCATCCGACGGTTTGTTTGATTTAGAGTAACATTAAAACTACAGTTTATTAGTTTTATCATTAGAAATTTTTTTAAAGTAGATTAAAAAATAACACGTCTACATCCAACACAATTCCGTTAGGATTTCCAACGGGGTATTTGCTAACTCCAAATATTATTTTATAGCGAAAAAGCCGGAAAAATAATAGTCTTTTTTTATAAAGCATGCCTGATATCATTGCCTACATGAAATTTAATCAGCCTTCGCTATCCTGATTAAAAACAATCTGCGATGTTGAATTGAATGAGTAGAAAATGATATTTGGGAGAAGCTCTCCATTACAGCAACAATCACTCTTGAGAACCATCAGCCAAGCGGCAAATGTTCACCGCTAGCTGAGCCTCCGGTAGAGCACTTGTTTGGAGCAGAAGCAACAGGAAGATATCGTTAGCGTGAGCAAGAAGCCCGATCAGTGGCCGTATTATCAAAACTTCGTAAGTACCCAAAATCGACTTACGAGTGGCGTAAGTGCTGACTTGATGACGTAACTCTAGAGGTGGTATTATCAAAACATTTGCGCGGGAAGATACGTAACGTAACTGTACGCCTGCTCGGAGATGTCGTAAGTGGAGTTCCGCACAAGTTTAGAGTGTCTGCTGAAGCGACAGGAAACTATTGATTTACTAGCAAGTAGCAACACCTTGACTTGTGATAGAATTTCGTCAACAATCCGACAGCGCGGATTATACACGCATAGAATGATGGCTCTACTTGTGATGGCTCCACTACTTGATCGTGCAACATATGCACGATCAAAATATGTGATTGTGGTAAACAGTGCTATTGGAAAAAAATTCAATTGAGTTAATGCCAGAAACAAGGAGCAATACCGACTCAATACCGACAAACAGCATTCGATAGTCGATATCATCGAAGGCATCGATTCCCGCCATCGAAGTTCACAGAATGTAAACAAATCCAAAGCCTCTGATTGGTCAGTTGGCCAGATGGTTTTAATAATACGCTTTTAGCTAAGTCTTACGTACGAATGTTTTGATAATGCCAAAATTAGGGTGTACTTACGTAACACGTAACTTTTGTCGGAAGTACAAAAAGTTGCGAAGTTTTGATAATACGACCCTAGGCCAGTATTTTTAGTCCTGGAGATCAACCTTAGTCAACTAAGTAGAGATAATGTTCACGATGAAAAAAGATAAAATGCTGAAACACAGACAGCTAAAGTCAACACAAGGATAACAATTAAGATTAAAAAAACAGCAGTTTAGTATGCTATATACTTGATTGCAACAAAAACCTACACGGCCGACAAAACAAATATGTAAATAAAACGATTGAACAGGATCATAGAAATATCAAGCGTAGAAAACGGCTAATGCTGGGATTTAAATCATTTCGTTTCTCAAAGAGCATTTTGGGCGGCATTGAACTGATGCATATAGATATGTAGCTAGAGGGCAGTTCCGACATCCTGCGGTGAGGCAGGTCCATCCAACTCTCAACAATTCTATTTGCTGCATAAAAAGAGAATACCTTAAAGCTTCTTAACATCAACAACTTATGACAAAAGCCTTGTAGCAATTTATAATATAATTTAACCAAGGAATGACAGTAGCTTTTTTTAGAGTGTGCGAATTCTGCATCCAATTCTTTATTTATATGTAAATAGTAAAAATAAATATCTCTAATTAAAAGTAGTGCTTTTACAGTTGGTATTTTCATTTTCTAATCTTTAAGGATTTGAAAAGTTTGATCTATACTCTGTTTATTTATCTGAGGGTGCCATTCACGCAAATCTATAGAATTCCTGTCATTGGCATCTTCCCATCTTCCTCACGAGTTTTAAGGGAGGGGCTATTCCACATTAAATTTATAGTTATACCCGAATCTAGTGGAATTATTCTAACAGTTTCTACTTTTGGGGTAAAGATTCAAATGAAGTAATTAATGTAAAGATGAGCCTGGAATTCACAGTGCATCAGATAATCGCTTATCTGTCATTTGAGTATCATGCATTAGTTGCCGCAGCACGAATCTTGAATTATTCCCACATAATTTATCCTCTGCTGTTCGATCAACTTTTATCTGTTTTTTAACGATGTCAGAAGGTATTTTTAGATATATTTAATATTTATGTGATGCAAAACCTAATATAGTTTGTTGATAATATTATATAAATTGCTATATGACAATATTGGTAGCGCTTTGCTGAAATTGGTTTGCGTATGAGTTATACAAATGTTATATGCATAAAAACATGAACATAATTAAATTATAACGATTTGTTGTTTCTCTGTATTTTTAGTTTGATGCTGATAACATCAAACTATTTTTGCGTTACACTAATACATAGTTATTTAGAATATACGTTATAAATAAACTTATATTACAAAGAGGCAATGTGATGAAATCAACTTTGGCTGCAGCAGCTGCATTAGAGGCTCCAAAAATTTACCTGAAGGTTGCCGATGCAGATTTAGATGTTGAACATCGCACGATTACATATTGGCTCAAACAAAGGAACGAGTAAGGTATATCACTCATTTTTCCAATACATCCAGTCGCTTGTGCACTTGAAGCTATCGGGTGTTTTAATAAAGAACAATAGTGTATCATTGATTCACCTAATAGAGCTACTTCTGCTACAATAGAGATTGCTTCAGGTACGATTTGATTATTCAACCAATCACTCCAAGCAGAAAATATTTGGATTTAGCGATAAATGTGTTTGTACAATCATCTTAAATGGAGTTTCACTCCAGAGAATACTCTTTATTATCACTAGTGTGGGATCAAGTGATATATTACACAAAGCTATATGCTATTTAGGCCTCGTTAAAATAAATGGCCAAAGTAGTAAAGTACTTGAGTCTCCCATCTGGGAAAAGGTAGGGTATAGATCAGCAGTAAACGATGGCCTAGCAATCAGGGAAACTGTTTATCAAAGCTTGGAAGAAGTAGCAAAATAAGTTGTACATCAAATGTTAACATTATTGATCAAATGACCATGTCAAAAACAGCACAACAGTAAAAGGGTTAAGATGTTTTTTTTTCGCAAACCAAAAATAATGCTGCTCGAGGCCGAGGGCTATCCACGCCTGAAGAATTAAATCTCTCAACAAATGATATTGTACAAGATGAGCATAGTGAGTCAGTGGATGTTTCTCCGATAAGAAGCATGAGGATAGGCACTTATATCACCGAAGAAGTAAGTGATATGCTTGCCGATATGGTTAAAGAAAATTGCTGAAGTCATAGAAATAGCAATCAATTGCAGACCTACATCAAAAAATTAACAAAAAGTAATTTAAGCCATAACATTTTAAATAATTATGTGTAATAACAGCTCTAGTTTCCTTCTTTGGGATATGCAACGTGAGTTGCCAATTAATTGATTGCTCCTATAGTAGATTTTTAGGAAAATTTTAGTTATTTTATTTTTATAAAACAAACAAAATAACATATGAATAAAGGATTTTACCGAAATTTACAGTTATGTCGATGATTTTGTGAACGGTATATCGTGCGAATTGTCCGCAATACATCGTTGAAAATCTAAACCTGGAATGAGGAATTAGTCTAGCAGCGAAATATTAATCATACTAATTGGTTACAATGAATCTTGTTATATTTTGAGGCGCTATGATGAGGCAATTACAATGCAAGACAAAGCAGATGATTTTTAGCTTATTAGTTATGTACACTTCACAAAATTAAAGGGTACAAATTTTCGGTATTTAGTTATATGTTATTGCCGCATTTATTAAAGGATTGCACAGATATTTCATTTGTGGACTCAACCAGCATAGGAGTATGCAAAAACTATAGGATTTATTCCCATACAATTTTTAAAGGTTTCTCAAAACCGAGAAGTCAAACAACAAAAGGTTGTTTTTTTTCATTGGTTCGATGTTTCATATGATAATTGATCTATACGGTAAA